GAGGTAACGCGCGTTCGCCCCGGCGGGCTCGTTAATGCAAATTTCGCTGTCGTGCCTCTGCTTCACCCCTCCCCCTTCCCCCCCCTTGCTCCTCCTCCATCGGGAAGCGTTTCACCCTAATTTCCTGCGCCGCAGCACCTGACGGTGCACGAAGTGCAGCGCTGCTCGCGTGCTCGCCCAGCAGCTTCCGGTTCCGGCGCGTGCTTAAGCATTCCGGCTGTTCGCACTCGCGAACGTGAACACCACACAAATACATATACATATTCACCTGCTCGGGCATACGGAAGGTCCGTTCGCGCGATACGCCGCTGCCACCATACCTAGTGCCCCATTCTGTCTCTTTCTCCCTCCCCCCCTCCCTCACCCCTCCCTATTGTGCACCCTGATGCGTCGAGAAACCGCATTCGTAGATCGAAAGATAGAGATGTTAATGATCGCGAATTGAGATGAGGAGCGGGCGCGCGGCTCGACAAATAGCCCGCTGAAAATAATTACCGCCCGGCTGCTGAAAAAGGCCCTCGCCCACAAATCGATTTAGAATCGATTACAATCGGTACAATCATTCAGCATATTTTAAGATATCTCAAGAGAGATCGAGCTCTCAAATTTATTAAAAGTTGTCATTTTAAAATTAATTATCACCGAAATAAGATAATACTTTTCTCTTTCACATTCTTTTAGTATTAATACATAAGTATATAAATAGATTCTTTTTGCGTTGCGTAATAATGATAAATCACGCATAACGCGAATATAATATGTTTTAAAAAACCATGACGGAATGTGTGAAAGATAGTCGGAAAACTGAAGAATCTCATATTTTCTCGTTCACAAAAGACTTTTTAAAATATGCTTTGACAGTCGGGATGAAAAGATAGAGATCCTTTAAAAGTCGCAGCGCAGGTGCGAGAGTCGGTCCATCCTTCAACATTTTGCTTCGCATTTCACGGATGAGACCGAGACCGGACGTGAGACCGATTAATATTGCTACAGAAGAGAAACATGTTACAATCGGCGTCGCAAGCCAACCAACGAGTTTTCTAACTTCGCAGGCCTTTTAGGTTGATCGTGATGTTGTTCCTAACTGAATAGTTGTTTTCGAAATGTGCTACTATGCAAACGTTCACATCTCTTCTATCTCTCCAATAATATTATTAAACAGTTTTTGCCAACTAATTTCGCACAAGTCATCTTTTTCTAAAGTTTTCGACCATTTGACTTGAAAATTGAAATGAATTATTAGTTGCTCAATGATTCTTGTGGCTCGCTGAATTTAATGAATGCCATTAGATGAGTTAAAGTTGAACATTATAGGCTTAACAGAGCAGGGATCACAGGTGAGCATTCAGTGAGCTATTGGCGCGGAAACTATGCGCAAGCTGGTGTCGGACAAATATTATCATCGAGAAGCATCGGACATTCGGGGCGGTCCGAATGCTGGCAATTAGCGGTGGCAGGTGGTGATTACTGGGGCCGAAATGATCCTCCTAAACACCGGAAACGTCCCTCTCCGTTGCTCGGGCGTGATTCCACGGCCGCTGTATTAAGACGACTACGATGTGGGACTCGGTTCTACAAAGGCGCAATAATTCACGAGCAATCGCGAAAGAAATTGCCGGTCTCGAGTCTCGTACAAGCGCTAACGATCTCCCCGACCAATTACACGTCCCGTGGGTCGATAATCAAAGTCCTCTCCGCGTGTACAGCGATTAGCGGCATAGCTCACGCCGCAAGAAATAGGTGAGAGTTAAGGAGAGACTGACAGGAATTCATTTCGTGAGATTGAAATTCCCAATCTGCGAAATGGCCAATTGATTTCAGTTCCTTTTATTTCCCCCCCTTCGATATTACGACACCATCTGGTCTATTCCTTATAAAAGATTAAGTGAATCTTTTAGAGTTTTTTGTCCAAACCAAATCGAGTTATAAGTATCAATTTCGGTATAAAATATGGAAAGAAATTTATTTCAATATATTTAAATTCTTATTAAGCCAAAAGATTTTTCAGATAAAGTTTACGTTTAACGCAGTTCGAAATTCAGTATGAGTGTTAACGTGCGTAAAATATCGTTGCTTTTGAAGTATTAAAGTGTCTCAGGTTTCGCATGTGCTGCACTCAAGAACTGTGCAGCAACCGTTCAATAATTATAAGCGAAGCGCGATCGCCCCCGAAAGTTCGCTCCAGTTTCTCACCCTCCTTTTAGTCGGCGTGGAGGAACAGCGGGAGAGGGACAGATGGAAAAAAAGAATCCGACGCAAAAAGGGATCTCGTTTGCGGCCGGCGAAGCACGGAGGCCGTGATTCGCTGCCTGGCTGACGCCATATGGTGTGCAAACCGAGAGGCTACTAGTCGATCACCGTTTCGCATTACGCAAACGAACAAGCCGCCTCGCGTCTTGTCGGCCGCTCTAAAGAGAGTCCCATAAATCCACACAAACAGAAACGACGGCCGGAAAACGATCGTGAATAGCAGTTAATTATGTCTCTTCTGCATCCGCTTGAAATAATACATTTTGCATGAATTGAAAATGGAAATAAAATATGTTTAATCATCTATCTGCAAAGAGCTGTGATCATCTGTACATGAAACGAATATCATGAGTGTAGAAAAAATTAGACCTTAATCGATTTCTTTTTATGAATTTATATTAATATTTATTAACATCGCATTCATTATTTCTAGCCGTTCAGTAATTTGTATTTGATCTTTAAAATTCAGTCATCTATCATTCGCCCCGAAGTTCGCTCTAAACTGTTCGAGGCGAATCTTGCATCATCGATCATTCATCGATGGATTTATGGGCTGGCCGAGGCCGCATAGAGCCAGTACTCCCAGATTTTAATAACAATTTCAAATCGTGAGTAACGATTTCCTTCAGATTTTCAAGATACTGGAAACTGCGAGATGGGAAAGGCAAAGAGAACGGACGGAGAAGGAATGCTTTCCCATGGTCCACTCGAAAGAGACGAAACGAGAGAGGCCAAGCCTCTCTCAATGGCCATAAAAAGCGAATCATAATCGCGGTATCATTAACAACGTCGTGCGAAAGAAGTAATTAAAGCGCGCGGCTCGTGAACTCGAACTCGGCTGGATCTTTCTCGGCCCGCGAGCTAACGGCTCCTTCCTCGTGCGGTTTTGCTACCCGGCTCCCGACTCCGTCGCATCATTCCGCGCACGGCGTCGGGACATTGAGCACCGTCGAAGAGCACCGCAGGGGACGCCGCAGGAACGCTTCTACCTGCGCAAAAAGTGGATCTGACGCGCCAATGGAAAGGCGCTCGTCAGCGCCTCTCTCTCCCTTCCTTTTTTGCATCATTACTACGCTACTTGTTAATCAAATCGTTAGAATTTCAAGATTAATATTTAGAGATTCTCGTTAAAAGAGATAAGATTAGCGGTACCTACATTCAATCGTCTGACACAGCGAGTTATAGTTTTTATAGGTATTTCGTGAGCAAACTGCGGCTTTGCCACAATCACGTTTAAATTTCAATTGTTTGTAACGTCAAGATTTGCAACAATTTATCAAAGTAAGATATCGATTTTTCCTCTAATGTTCAACAGATGTTTCTTGTCTTAATTTTTGCAGTACCTATCAAATTTAGCGACAATTTAAAAATCCAACAATTTAGGAAAACTATTCTCTTATCGAATATTTCTGGAGTCTACGTCAGATAATTTATCTATATATGCGTCTCGAAGACGACATCGAACAAAAAGTGCCATAAAGGCTCGTAAAATAGCTCTCTGTATAACAAAAACGACTGTGCAATTTATCAGTGTAGATAAAGCACTTAGATGTTTTCATATCTGAATACATTTTTGTGTGTCTGAAAGTATTTTGTTCGGACTACCTGTAGTCCAAAACTCCGGTGCCAAAATAAAGCGCACCATCGCCGACCGGCTGGAAGGTGGATCGTATCTGTCCCGACGCCGCCGCGCTTCGACGTTTCGTTTCGCATCCGCGATGATAAAGGGCGCCGGTTCTCAGCAGGATCTGTTCTCCTCCGGCCCTCCTCGCTCTCCCTCT